GGGGCGGGGAGGGGGGCGGGGGGCGTCTGTGCGGCGGAGGCGGACCCCACGGAGGCCCCGCCCACCACTGCTGGGCGCCCTCCCCACCTCCAGCAGCGCTTTGCTCTGGGCTGAACTCGCGTGCGTGACAGCCCAGCCTTGGCGCTTGGGCGCCTTCCGGCTCCGGGCTGTGCGCTGTGCACGGCCGAGCTCCGCCCGTATTTGCAGAGGACCTGGTCGGCCAGGCTCTCCGGATCCTAGCCTGGCGCACACGGGTAGCCTCATCCCGCCATCCTGGGCCCGCCTGGCACAGCGCCCTCCCGGGGCTGCCCCAGGCCGGAGGTGCCTAGCCACTGTGCCCCCACCCAAAGTCGCCGCGCACAGGTTCTCTCTGCTGGGGCATCCTCCACACCAGCTGAGCAGCGAGTGCATCCCGACTGCCTCGCCGGACAAGGCCCTTCCTCCCCAGGCCCTGCATGGGGCTCCGCAAGCTGGGGACCCTGGTGCGTTTACCCGAGAGGGCGCAGGAGCTCAGTGTGGGTGGTAAGGGCCTGGGCCAGCGCCCTGGCCTCTGACCCAACCCCTCCCCTTTGCTAACCTGGCACCCCGCGTTTGTGAGCGTGAAGAAGGGGTCTAATCTGGGGGCTGCCGGGGCAGGGCTGGTCTGGGGGAAGCTGGCTCAGCTGTAGGGAATTGTCGTGATGCCAGATCCCCAAACTGTCGGACTTTCCAAAGAACTCAGAAGTCCAGGCCAGCCTATAAAATCTCCTGATTTAAAAACAAAAATGGAACAGCACTGTTGGCAACGCAAAGTGAGCCTCTCTGCCCAATGTCAGCTCCCAGGGGCTCCCCCAGGCGGCCCCCCCAGCTGGCAGGGCGGCACCAGGCCATGGGCTTTTATTCCGAACTTGCTGCTCTCCAGGCCTCCTCCCCGGAAGGGAAGGCAAACTTCTGCTTCTTTGCTAAACTATCTGCAGGAAGTGCCACTCTAGGAGCTTTCTCCATCAGAAGGAGAAGCGTCATGGAAAAAGAGATCCAGGCTTTGCCCAGCCCACCCGTGAGCACCCGCAGGCAAACACAGGGAATCGGGGGGCATCAGACGGAACCGGGCGAGGCCTGGGCTCTGCCTCCCTCAAGGAAGGTTACTGGGAGTCCCGCCGGCCGGTGAGGCCTTGGGAGCTGGCAGTAGGCTCGGGAGGAGCCCCCAGGAGCGGCAGGCGCTGACACTGCAGAATCTGCCCAGGACCCCACCATGTGCCCTGGTGACAGAGTATCTCCGAGGCCCTGCCAGGGCCCTGTGCTGGGAGAACATCGGAGTCTCATCAGTGCAAGGCAGCCGGGGCTGGATGCTGCCTTCTATCCACCATCACAATGCGTGCCCGTGTCCCAGAGACCTTCCACGGTGGGGTGCTTTATCCCCCAGTGGAGTTTTCCTCTTCGTGGCCTTTTTCACTGCAAAGCCCACAAGGGTCCTAGCAGCCGTCCGGCCCTTTGTGTGTCTCCCCCGTGGGGGCTGGGAACAGCTGGAGGATGGCGGCCACACTGCTCACCCAGGCGGGTGCAGGGCCCACCGTGGGAGCGAAGGCCCGAGAAGGCAGGCAGCGTGTGGGCACACACATGAGGGAAAGCCTCCTACTTGGCTCTTTGGAGGCCTCAGGCTCAGGTTCCCCATGAAGCCCCTCACCGGCGGCCACACCAGAGGTGGGAGCAGAGGATGTGGGGCTCTGGGGGGAGGTGTCTGCGAAGGGGCCTGTGTGTGGACCCCATGTTGCCCCCGACACCCCACCCCTCTCTGGCCTCCATGTCCCCTGGAGCACCGATCACCCCAGCTTCTTCCTTGCATGTAAATGCAGAATCCCTGCTGGGCCCGCTCCTCCCCAGCCCCTAGTGCAGCTCCGAGGCCCACTCTCCAGCGGCTGGCTCTGTGATCAGCACTTACGGCCTGTGGGGGCGGGGCGGGGAGAGGCCTTCCCTGTTCTGGGTCTTCACTCAATTCCTGGCACTGAGCTGGGCAGCCCGAGGGTGCCAAACAGACTCTCCCGAACCCCTCCTCCTGGACTTTTGGGCCAAGTGCAGGACAGGAGGTTGGAGGAGTTTCCCAGCACAAACTCAACAATGAGGAAGAAGCCGAGCCAAACCCATGGGCTCCCCACAGCAGGGTGAGGCCATCCGGAGCCGCCCACAGCCCCAGCACAGGGACAGGGAAGGGGAGCTCCAGTCCGCGTGGCAGGAGCCGGTGACCCTGGGCCACTGACCTTGAGGGTGTTGTGGGATGTGCCGCTGGGCCTCCTCCTGCCCCCGTCCTCCAGCTGCATCTCAGAGTAGAGCTCCTCCTCGTCCTCCTCCATGATGTCCGAGAGGTCGGAGCCCCGGCTGCTCTCTGTGTGGTACTCGTCTCCGTGGCAGGAGTGCGGCTGGGGGCCAAGAGAGGGGACACTGTGGGGGTCCGTGGTCTGGGGGCCACCCAGGCCCTCCTCGCCTACCTTCCCCTGCTCTCTGCATGCTTGGAAGCCCCAGGCTCGTGCATGTGCACGTGTGTGTGTGCATGTGTGTGCATGTGTGCACATGTGTCATGTGTGCATGTGACTGTGCACCTGTGTGCGTGCATGTGTGCATGTGAGTGCACGTGTGTGCATGTGCCATGCACATATCTGTGCGTGCATGTGTGCATGTGCGCGTGAGTGTGCATGTGTGCATGTGAGCGCGCATGTCTGTGCGTGCATGTGTGCATGTGAGTGTGCATGTCTGCGTGCATGTGTGCGTGTGAGTGTGATCGCATGTGTGCATGTGTGCGAGTGTGCATGTCTGCGTGCATGTGTGCATGTGAGTGCGCATGTGTGCATGTGCATGTGTGCGTGCATGTCTGTGCGTGCATGTGTGCATGTGAGTGTGCATGTCTGCGTGCATGTGTGCGTGAGTGTGCATGCGTGCGTGTGAGTGTGCATGTCTATGCGTGCATGTGTGCATGTGAGTGCACACGTTTATGTGTGTGCATGTGTGCATGTGAGTGCGCACGTTTATGTGTGTGCATGTGCGTGCGTGCAAGTTGCCCCCATCCGTGGTGAGGAAGTCCTGGACGTCCCTATCCTGTCAAGCTCAGGGAGCCAGAAGAGCACAGATGGCCAGTCCAGGTCTGCTAGCTCCGAGCTGGCAGGAACTGGCAGAGACCCTCACAGGCTCGGGCACACCGCATGTGTGCAACAGAGAGCCACAGGGTGGGAAAGTGCACGTATGTGTGCCATATAAAAGCATTTAAGATTTTTACAAATACGGTGTCGTCTAACACACACGCACACCCTGGGTTGTCCGGAGAATAGCTGGTCCGGGCAGGAGGTGGGCCCCGCGCACAGGCGGGCCTCACGCTGGGCCCAGCTCGCTCGTGGACACCTGACGGAGCCTGTGCGTGGACTACATCCAAACATCCTATAGGATGAAAGGTGCGCGTGGTAATGTGCGTGCACACACGGACACGGACAGCCCTGGCCGGGCACCACGACGCCCGGCCGCTGCAGCTTGGCGCCACACTCACTCACAGTGTCCGCTTTCAGTATCTCAAGTATTTAAAGCAAAAATACGGAAGGTTGCCACAACCCAAACCTCACACCCAGGCGAGCTCAGATTTATGACCACGTTCCGTTTTGCTAGATGGTGTTGATTAAGAACAGTTTATTTTCCTGGTGGGCAATAAGACAAATGAATTTAATAGCAGCCTGCGACACATTTATTAAAAATACTCCAGTTTTCAATTACTAGCCCAGATAAAGACGTGTAAGCACTTCTGGCCACATGAAGTTCGAGGCCCGCTGGAGGCAGGAAGCTCTGCGTGCCTTGTGGGGAGAAGGGGCCAGGAGGGATCTCAGCCTAAGCCTCTGCGGCCTCGGGGTGGGCCTGGCTGCAGCTGTAATTCTTTCACTCAGGGGCCAAGTAGAAGACATACAATGAAGGGCTTTAAATACACAAAGACCAGCCTGGTTTTAAGGCGGTCTTCCCCAGGCGTCCAGGAAACTCCCTTGCATGAGGATACGGTCTCATCTAATTCCAACCCACTGATGTCAGAATAAACTCATGGAATGGAAGGAGGGGTCTGTCACTGGCCAGATACATTACTGATAAGCCGTTGATAGGAATCCTATTCCTCTCTTGTTGCTGGGCACGTGACCCAGGCTGCTCAGTGAGAGGTAGCAGCAAGTCTGATGGAGCTTCTGGAAAAGACTTTTCTCCCAGTTAAGAGAAAAGTGCCTGAAAAGCAAGCCCCCTCTTTTTTTCATCCGTCCCTTCCTTCCTTCTTGGGGTGCTGTCACATGAGGGTGTGATTATTGGAGCTATGGCAGCCACTTTGCAAGCAAGAGGAAGGCCAAAAAGCATGGAAGATTCAGAAGCCAGAGCCCAGAAACACTGGACAGCTGAATGAGTCTGGCAACATCCTCCTGAGGCTTCCCGTATCATGGGTGGTGAAATGTCTTCATCACCTTTGTCGTTATTAGGTGGGCATTCTGTGTCTTATGTTAAAATGAGTACAAGTAGAACTATTTTAATCTTGCAGACAGAGTCTGATGGCTGGAGGAGCTGGGCAACCTGCCCACAGAGCTACGGCTGAGCAGCGGCAGGGCCAGGATGTGACCCCGAGTGTGTGAGCCCGACGCCCCCGAGGCCATGACGCTGTCCTGCCTCCCGGGCATGGCAGGTGTCCCGTGACCTATCTGCTGTCTTTGTGGGACACCCCCGGGCTGCCCGACTCTCCAGCCCTTCCTGTCTCTTGTCCAGACAGTCAGGGCTGCTTCCGTTAGAGTGCACGTGATCAGAACCCGGAGCCACAAGCCAGGCGGGGCGCATCTGCTGCGCAGGGGCCTGGGCTGGGAGGGGAGCACTGACGGCTCGCGCTCTAGGTGTAGGACGTGGATCCTGCGTGTCGGGCTCTCCCATGATGCCTGGCATATACCAGATGCCCAACAAACATTTGTCTAATTAAGGAAAGTGGATGAACAAAAGGTGGGTTCTGCTAAATTGACCAGGTGGTCATCTGTAGGTTTATCTGACCCACCCAATCGTCCCCGTGACCAGATGCCGGCACAGGGCGGTTGGGGAGGGTGGGAGCCTCCCATCTGGACTTCTGGAACTGTCCCCAGAGGAGGTCACACTCGGTAGCTCTGGCTGAGGCCAGGGGAGGCCCACGGGGACCCCACTCTCACACTCACCTGCTTGCCGAGCTCTGAGCCTTTCAGAAAGTCGTCCACCGAGGCGCCTCTCCTCTTGATGTCCGGGGAGTCGTAGCTGTCTTCCTCATCTGAGTTTGTGTACTGCCCGCCGCCCCTCTCCAGGAAGATGCTCCTTTTCTCTAACTTGGAAGGAGAAGGAAAGGAGCAGTCAAGAGGGGCTGGTGAGGGGCAGGGGGCTTCCAGGCCCCCATGTCTTCTGGGCTGGGCCTCTGCTTCGCTCAGCCCCCCAGTCCCCTGGGAGCTCCCGCGGGCAGGGACCCGTGTCCGGTGGCCCAGCGCTGGCCTCTGATGTGCTGCTCCCGTCCCTGACCAGAACCACTTCCTGCCTTTGCTGGAGGAAACCTAGGGATACTGATGGAAAGTTCTCTCCCCACCTGGCTCTTGATCTCTTCAACACTTTCTTGAAAAATAACATTCAAAGGTTTGCTTTCTCTCCATGCCCTCCAAAAGGTGAGCTGCCTGGGGAGTGAGCAGCCCCAAGCTCTGGCTCCAGCCAGCTCTCAGGACCCCGCCTGGGGGTCTTAGGGGTGCCATCCCAAAGAGCAGAGGGGAGCCCACTCCCCTGCCAGGCCCTTCCTGCCCACAGAGCTTCACCGAAAGCACCACAACGTTCTGGGCCCAGGCTTCTGCTTCGTGAGAAACAACACAGCGAGGATGGGCTCACTTCCTCTCGTCAGAAGTCACAAATTAGTGTTTAATTGTTTAAGTATTTGAGGCCAGTACTGAACCAGTTGGGAGAGCTCACACGACAGCCGGGGTTTCTGGTGTTTGGGGAGGACCAATGGCTGTCACTGCACTGCGCATCCCTCCCCACTGTCCTGCACGGGGCCTGTGTGACCCAGCTCTGACCCTTAGGGTCTGCACCCTTCCTGAGGCTCCCTGACCTGGTCCCCACCCCAGGGCCAGGCTGACCCAGGCTTTGGGACCTCCAGGCGTCCGCACGGATATCTCCACCTGCAGCTCAGAGAGGACACTGTCGGGGCTCACTGTCCTGGAGGGACCTACAGCTGGACGGGCAGAGCCGAGACGGATGCTGACCGCCGCTGTCTCCTCGGCCAGAGCCCCGAGCGCAGGCCACAGCAGACATGCCGGACACCCCGGTAGACCAACACACCCGAGGAAGAGACGGGGGCTTTGTCCCAGGCAGGCAGGTGCGGGGGGGCACACGGTCTAGCCAGTTCCGGATCCTACTCTCCGGGGCCTGGACGGGGCACCACTTCATAGGTGTTTCTTACTACGTCATGTCTCACTGCACATCTCGTCTGGAATACGGCGCCACCATAACCCAAATGCTCCCGTCCCCATGGCCCAGACAGTTCCGGGTAACAGGCACGCGAGTGTATTTTTAAATGTGCACTTCTGCACGTAGGGACATGTGTATATACACACGCCTGTCTACGTGTGCACGTAGATATGTCTGTGTGCATGTGTGTGTGGAAACAGGTCTGCACGCGTGTAGAAGCATGTGCGTGCACACACAGCTGAGGCTCTGAAGCCGCAGAACCAGGACGTGAGCCTCGTTCAGGAAGAAGGTCTCCAGGCCGACTTCCAGAAGGCACCTCTCAGACCCTCAACACAGACAGAGCCTGGGGACTGGGCCGCTCACAGCCTGTTGTCGGAGCTGAGCCAGGCTGGTCGAGAGGCAGTTTCTCTGGGTTCGTGGGCCCATTTTCACATACTGAGAATACATTTTGATCCCATCAGGATCTGGCCGAGAAAGCAGTCCATGGGCACAGGGAGGCCGCGTGGCATCCCTCCCTCCCAGGCAGCCCCCGGGCGCCAGCGCCTGGAGCAGCCCCCTCTGCAGACCAGTGAGGAGAAGCCCAGCCTTACCCTGCTGCTCTCGGCCACTCTCTGCGCGGCTTCCCGGGCCATGGCCTTGGCGACGGACGTGGAAACCGGGGTACCCTGTGGCTGTGGGAGGATCCGGCTGGGCGAGGGGGACCGCCTCCCCAGGCCCGAGCCCTGCAGGCTGGGCGGCTCCAGCATGTGCCCATGGGCTGGGGCTGGGGCCCCACTCTGCTCCCAGGCCCCGTCCATGGCGACGTGGGGACCCAGGTGTTCATCTTTGGTATCGGGGGCTCCGGTACTTGCTAAGGGCTTCGGTGTGGGAGTTCTCAGGTGGGGGGTTGGAGGCACCAGGAGGTCGGGGGGGATGGCAGCAGGGGCGGAGTCCGTGGACTCGCCCTGCGCAGAGAGGGTCCGCACGGTCACGCCCTTGGCTTCCAGGCTCCGCAGCCGCACCAGCTCCACGGCTATGCTGTCCACCATGGGGGAGGTGACCTCAGCCACCTGCACACAGAGAATGCCCGTCACGGGCGGCCCGCCTGCCCGCAGCTTCTCCCCCTGCACCCTGCCGGACAGGGGCCAGCCCCCAGACGGCCTCCCAGGCCCGGGGACTGGGACCCTATCCATGCCCAGCTCAACTGCGTGCCCGGCCCGGAGAGCCTCAGAGTGGGGAGCAGGCCGGGGACTTCCACAGACCCCACCCGTGCAGCTCTTGGAGGTTCCTGGGCTCCAGTGAGGGCCACGCCCTTCCTTCCGTGTCCAGAACCAATTCAGATATAGATGTGGGGGCCTCAGAGGCATCAGAAACCAGGTATGAACTGCCAAAGCTGGGTGGGGGGAGAAAGGGCCAGGCAGAGGCCAAAATGGACTTCCTGCTATCATAGAGCAAGGATACACTTCTGCATGAGCACACCCTGCCTGCAGGCTTCCCCACGGAGGGGGAGCACAAGGGAGTCCCGGGGGAGGAGGGGGAGCACGGAGGAGTCCTGGGGAGGAGGGGGAGCACGATGGAGTCCCAGGGGAGGAGGGGGAGCACGGGGAGTCCCTGGGAGGAGGGGTGCATGGGGGGAGTCCTGGGGAGGAGGAGGAGCACAGGAGAGTCTCGGGGGAGGAGGTGGAGCACAGGGGAGTCCCGGGGGAGGAGGGGGCAGAGGGGAGACCTGGGGAGGAGGGGGAGCAGAGAGGATTCCTGGGTGAGGAGGGAGAGCAGAGGGGAGTCCTGGGGGAGGACGGAGAGCAGAGGGAAGTCCTGGGGGAGGATGAGGGGGAGCAGAGAGGAGTCCTGGGGGAGGAGGGGGAGCAGGAGGGAGTCCTGGTGGAGGAGGGAGAGCAGAGGGAAGTCCTGGGGGGGAGGAGGGGGAGCATAAGGGAGTCCTGGGGGGGAGGAGGGGGAACAGAGGGCAGTCCTGGGGGAGGAGGGGGAGCAGGAGGGAGTCCCGGGGGAGGAGGGGGAGCTGAGGAAGCATGCCCCTGCAGGTGGCAGCTCCCGGGGACCAGGCAGGAGGGGCTCAGATAGGCACTTACATCTGATGTATCAGCCCTGGCTCCTCTGGGGGAACAGGAGGGGTGGGAGGATGGACAGGAGCTTCCCCAAGCCTCCCCCCTGTGTGTGTGTCATGTGCCGGGACGGGGCTGAGGCTTGGGCTGGTATGGGGTCCCTATACTGGGCATTAAGGACACAAGGTCTCTGGGAGCCAGGCCCGCTGGGTGTTGATGTGCAGATGGCCCCCCTCCCCTTTGGCTGGTGGTACCATCTTCTCAACAACAGTTGGTCGAGTTTATGAGCCTGTCATCTACTGAGGGGGCTGATTTTGTGGGGTCGAGAGGCGAGTTTTCAGTACTGAGGGGAGAAGAGGAACTGCCCAGGGCAGGGCAGCAGTGGCGTGGGGAGGTGGGCAGAGAGAATTCTGGAAAGTTGGAGCCACAGGAGAGAAGGGGGCTGTGTTCTGCCAGGGTGGGGGCCCTGGGCGCCGCTGTAGGTGCTGTTCAGGCCGAGCCG